AGGATTTGAAATCAGGGAGTGAGATACCTCCTACCGTTCTTCTATTCTTAAGGAGTGCTTTGCTTATTCGGGGCTCTTAAGTTTTCAGATGAGAACTTTTCCATTTCACAAGTTCTAGCATTAGTCCACAGTAATTCAAGCTTGTTATAATGGGTTAAGATAACGTTGTTGTTGTTATGAGCTGTCGAGTCACCTGCGACCCTATGTACAGAAGCTCTGAATCCTGCCCTGTCCTGAGCCAGTCTCACTGATTCTGACACACCAACCCCCATCGTCCCAGTCACTGTATCAATCCATCTCATCTGGGATCTTACTCTCCTGAGCTGTCCTTCCAAGCATGATGTCCTTCTCCAAGGACCAGTGTTTCCTGGCCACATGCCCAAAGTATGTGAGACAAAGCTTCAAAATCCTAGTCTCTAAGGAGAGAAATCCTAGCCTCTAAAGGAGAGACTTTGTTTCACCCTCTCCAAGACAGACCTATTTGTTTTCTTGGTGGTCCATGGTATGTTCAAGATTCTTCTCCAGCACCACAATATACGAAGATCATGGCCTGGATTAGACACACCTTAGTCTCCAGACTGACATCGTTGTTTCTCAGTACTCTGGAGAGGTCCCTGACAGCAGATTTTCCCAATGTAATTCTTCATTTGATTTTCTGACTGCTTTAAGAGTGTTGATTGTGGAGCCGAGCAAGCTGTAATTGTTAACAACCTCAATCTCTTCTCCATCCATCATGGTGCTGCCAGTTGGCCCAGTGGTGAGAATCTTTGTCTTCTTGATGTTGAGCTTCAATCCATATTGAAAACTACAGTCCTTGACCTTCTGCAACAAGTGCTTCAGGTCTTCTTCAGTTTCAGCAAGCAAGGTTGTGTCATCTGCATAATGTAGGTTGTTGATGAGTCTACATCCAATCCTGATGCTACACTCCTCATAAAGCCCTGCTTCCTGAACGATCTGTTCTGCATAGAGATTGAAAAGGTATGGGGACAGGATGCATCCCTGATGCATTCCTTTCCCAATTTTGAACCATGCATTGTTTCCCTGCTCTGTTCTGAGGACTGCTTCCTGGTCCAAGTATAGGTTTTGCATAAGCACCATCCAGTGTTCTTGGATTCCCATTTTCATTAAGGTTAGCCACAATTTGTTGTGATCCACACAGTCAAATGTCTTTGCATAGTCAGTGAAATACAGACAGACATTCCTCTGGTACTCTTTGCTTTCAGCCAAGATCCATCTGACACTGGCAATAATGTCTCTAGTGCCAAGACCTCTTCTAAACCCAGCTTGTAGGACAACATACTAGTTTGTCATTCTACTCACAGAATAGGACTAAGGTGGTGGCATGTGTGAAGGAGATATCACTTTAAAATTAGGCATTCAAATACTACAATCTTGGACAAACATCTTTATTTAAGGATCAAATAAATATACAGGATAAATAACAATAACGGTAACAATTTTACAGAAGGATATAGCTCCAAAATTAGGAGTAAACCAATTCAAATGTTATTCAGAACAATTTTACAGAAGGATATAGTTCTAAGCTTAAGAGTTAAACCAATTCAAATGTTATTCAGAACAATTTTACAGGATATAGTTCCAAGCTTAAGAGTTAAACCAATTCAAATGTTATTCAGAATGCAGTAAAATTTTCAAATGATCATTACCAGTTCAGAAAATACCTGGTGAGGTTACTTGCCATTCACTGGATATCTGGTATTAACACAATAAGACACCCTTCTCCCTCCTTATTATAATACAAGACCAAAGCTATCCACCTATCTCTGGGATAGCCTGGGAGGCTAAACTGGCAATTGTTCACATAATCCAATCTTTCCTTTGTATGCAATTCTGCAAATAGGCTCATATCTTCCCCCCCCCCCCAAGAAATGAACAGGCCTTTATTGTGTGGTCTGAGAGGGACACTATGAGCAAAGAAGGTCAAAATGGCTCTAGACTCGTATCTTAACTAGCATGGATAATAGCAGGTTGAATTAATTCCTAGTTTACTATCTGAGGATGGGTGATACAAGAACAGAAAGTTATTATAGTCTAGAGGAACAGCATTCCCAAGCATATATCATAAACTCTGGAACTCTAGCAGCGTCACTAGTTTTAACATAGGTAGCAGCCATGTGACATTTAGCACCACTGAAGCCTTTGTCTCGGCCACCTCAGGTACTTCCTATTTTGTGCACTGCCTCTACACATTGTCACTAGACATAAAAATAAAACCACATGTGCCAGCTGTCAACTTCATTCCCCACAGCAGAAGCTTTTAACTTGAAATCTATACCAGATTAGTGCTCGGACACTTGTGTGGAGTTTATCAAGATAAAGCTATCTGCATCGGGAAAGTCAAAAGCTATCTCAATTTCTAAAATAAAAACCTTTTAAGATTCTTGGTAAGGAACTTTTTACAAATAACATCATTCATAAACAAATACTGAAGTATTAATAGTAACTGGCAAGAAACAGAAGATAACTATTTTTAAATAGAAAAGGAATTACATGTTGAGATAAACAAAGACTGCAAAAGGAGTTACATGAAGCTGAGATAAACAGAGACTGCGACATCACGTTTTCCAGGCAATTTAATCAAGTTACTTACAAAGCACACATTCCTGAGTATGCGTCCCATTGTCATGGTGATGCTGCTTACTGCTGATTGGTTCAATTTCAGCTTAACAGGTGTTTCTTTCCAAGAAACTGAACTTTCCGGTCAAATGCACTTGATCGAATAGGAGAATTGGGCTCATAAAATGGATTCATTGCAAACTAGGAGAAAAGGAGGCATTAGTGATCTTGTCCAAATGAAAGAGGCTGACAAATCAAAAGGCGATCAAGTTATCAGAGAGGAGTGCAAAGATAGTTTTCAAAATGTGAACTAAAATGCTTCCTTGTGAAAGCCCAAGTTCCTCTTTTTCTTTTCTCATTTTTTTTAAGGTCCTCTATTTTGGTTTGAGTGTTTCCATTTTGAGAAGAACCTATGGAAAACTTCTGGTAGTATGACACAGGCTGCTTGTGTAAGTGCAATGAATTTCAGGCATCACCCCCAAGCATGGAATTCTCGTCGACTGGCATCCATTATAAAGATACAGATGAAATTGTGTAAGACCCTTTGTCTCCATCAATATAAATAAGACCTGCATGCTCAAAACTTCAAAAGTGAAGCCACATTGCTATTAAAATTACTCTCTGTAAATTTACTACTATTAGATGAGAATTACTAATGAGAAAAGGAGTTAGCGATTTTTACCATAGAGTGGTTACTAGGTGGCGCTGAGTCAATTCTGATTCATAGTGATCCTAGCTGGATGACAGACTTCCCCTCAGAGTTTCTCGGACTGCAGTCTTTATAGGAGCAGATCCCTCGGCCTGCCTAGTATCTGGCAGAGTTGCTGGTGGGTTTGAACTGCCAGCTTTCAGGTATGCAGCTGAGTAGCACTGTCAGTTACACCATCTAAAATGCTACTTCTGAGTGGAACTAGTGATTGCCCAATTGTATTACTGTGCTGACGGGAATGATAAAAGTATGTCTGCTGGCACTGCCATTTACCCAATGCCATCTGACTTTTTAATATTTTTTTATTATTTTATTTTTCTAATGAAAATATCAATGCATCGAAATAGCAAGGAATTGCTGACAGCATTATTCTCTCTGAGCAAGTGTTTGCTAATCAAGATCACCTCCTGGCAGTTGATGATCTAGATTTATTATATTGCAATTTACTTATAACAATAGATGGAATACCTTTTCTATTACAATCATAAGACCAGTTTCCCTTGCCTCCCTTTCTTAGTTACATGCACTACAAGGTGAAGTAGGAGCCTGCGGGGGAGTAGCTGGGGCCCCCTAAATGTTGGTTAGGGGGAAGCTAATCTGGGACAAAACCTGCAGGACAAAACAGGGGTAACTCCAATAGGCTTCCTGTCTGAGTAACAATGTCTTTTTATGATCAGATTTAGAAAATTCTAAAACATACATACCTTTATGTACAAATCGTAGACATCAGTAAAGAAGTTCTTTATCCCATCTTCTTGTCTTACATCATGAAGCATAATAAATCTCATATGTGAAATAGTTAAGGCATAATCTTTCTGAGAAAGGAAAATCGGTTGACAAAATTTACTTCAAATCATCACTTGCAGTGTGTATTTGGTGATAGATTTAAAGGTAGGATCGTTTGATCTTAACCTCAAACCCAACCCAACCTACTTCTGTCTTACCAATTCTGTGAGCTTGCTAATCTTTCTCCCATAGGGCAGCTGGTGCATTTGAACTGCTACTCAAATTTTGGTTAGCAGCACCACACATAGTGTACTACACTACCAGAGCTCTTGATTTTTATCTTAAAGAGAAGATATTTTGTTTTTGTGGGTTTTTTTTTTCAGTGTGAAGCAGAAAAAGAAATTTCTCTTACTTTTGTTCGTACAATCCTTAGTTTCATATGAGACCTGGTTTTACTCAACAATATGTTCTCTGGTTTGTAGTACCATGACGGGCAATGCTCACATATGTGCCAACTCTTCGAAATCCTAGGACTCAGACTGGCACCTACAATTCACGTTCTTTTATTTTTATAACCCAACATTTAGTTATAGATATTTAAAAGGTAAGGATATGACCAGCTGTAACAAATGCCGAGACGAACCACTCATTGAACTTATCCACAGTTTTTAAGTACATGTTGTTAGACAGCCACATATTCTCATCTACAAGGTCAAGAGCAGCATGGGCGATGAACTGGTTCAGGTGACGATGATCATCCTAGACGACAACGAGAAGAAAAAGCCACAGATCAACATCCCAGTGTAGCACCAAGAGCATCAGCGTCCTGTCCATCACTACAGTGCTGAGCCTTGAACAATGTGGGGGTTAGGGACGCAGCCAAAAATAGCTGTATAACTTTCGATCTCCCCCAAACTGAAAGCTTTATTGTTCACAATCAGTTAACACATACTTTGTATATTGTGTATTAACATAGATTATGTGGGGATGGCTGCATTTTCAGTATAAAAACAAGAAGATATTTTGCCAAAAGTGCAAGGTGTTTGTGCCTGCTGGCACACATGCAGCAACAGCTTCACAGATTTCCTATTTTCTTTTTTTTTAATTCGAATTCCCACACTGAATGGGATCTACACTACATATCAATCACTTTAGGTTTTTCTTCTAACGTTACAGCTTCTCTCTGCACCGTGGGTGCACTTCCAGCATCACTTAGTGGCACCTCACATGAGTGCCATGGTGTCATTCTAAGTTCACGGCACTGCACTAGAAACGAGAGAACTTTCTATGGGGAAATGCAATTTGCTGGATAAGAAGCCCTGGTGGTGTAGTGGGTTATGTGTCAGGTTACTAAACGAAAGGTCAGTGGTTTGAATCTCCTAGCCATGCTGTGAAATAGAGGCAGCTTCTTTGTAAAGATTTACAACCTCGGAAACCTGGTGAAGGGTCACTCTGACTTGGCATTGACTTGATGGCACTGAGGCAGTTTACTGGAAGATGAACTGCTCAGGAAGAAATGATTCCTGTCAAACAGCACCATTTAAAAACATCCACCCACTTCAAATTTGTGCTGTTTAAGGGTCAGCTATATATGGTTGTCTCATTGGAAAAATATTTTCTGCTTTTATTTCCTTTTTTATTTTCATGAAAAGCCAAACCTTATATTCACACAATGGGATATGAAGCTGCATTGAAAAACAACGAACTCATGAGATATTACACAAAATGACTGACCCTGGAGGACATTATGCTGAGTGAAAGATCTCAGTCACAAAAGGACAAATACTGCACAATGCCACTGTTGTAAAGCAGGAATGACACTGGGGTTGTGGGGAAAATAAGGGATAAATAACGTATACTGCATTGAAACAGATGAGGGAGAGAGAACTGTTTGAAAGGAATATACGATTAGGTATTATTTTCATGACAAGAGTCCAGAATGAGAGCTGCATATTGGAGTGGACTGGGTGAGGGGGGAATTGTGTAATAATGAAAGTAATTTTTTTTTTTTACTCTTCAAAGAGAAAAACCAACTGGGGGAAGGGGTGGGCATGGAGGAAAATGTGCAACAATGAATGAATGAAAAAAAAAGAATTTGACAATTAAACAAAAAAAGCAGCAAACCTACTGCTAAGTCTATAGCAACTCACAGCAAGCTGATAGGACAAGGGCGTAAACTTTCTTCAGAGAAGAAGTTTTAACTGCTGATCTTGAAGTTAGCATCCAAGCACTTTAACTACTGTCTCACCAGTGCTCTTTTTTCCCCAAGATATAGCCTGTTTTCATATAATACTCTAAAACTCTGCCATCTAACTCAACAGAAAGAAGACAATTTCAGAAAAAAGGATGAGTTTCAGAAACTAAGTAGGAAAGTGTGTTTTATAAGGTTGGAAAACACAAGTTACTGACTCTGTAACCATTTCAAACACATGATTTTAAAAAAATAGGTTTTTTTTTAAAAAAAAAAAAGTCAGCCCTGTGTTCAAAACAGTTAACATTTTACTAGAGACAGGTTATGGAAAAAATGTGTCAGGAGATAGCTCAAGCCTACTTTAGTAGGCTGGGACAAAGGAGGAGGTGACAAAGTGCCACAGATGGCTGTTTGCACTGGGTCTTGAGGGACAATAACTGGAGTGGGGAGGGACTTCTGAGACAGTGGTACCAGGTAAGTAGTAGAGGGCTGAGGTGGCACTTTTAATGGCAAAGACTTCTTCAAGTGAACTATGGCAGGGTGACCTGGGAGGACAGGAGGCCACGCCCAGCCCCAGTAGTGAGCAGACTCCTGTGTTACCTGTAGCAACAGGACACAGTTCTGTCACAGCTAGAATGTCTCTTTCATGGACTGAAAGGCTTCACTGGCCGGGGGTGGGTAGGAGTACTGTCCCACCACAACGTGGGGAGAGAACAAACAGCCTGGATTATTGCTCCCTCACTCCTGTGGCTGGGTGGGAGGGAGGCTGCTGGAGTCCCTTGCCCAGCTGAAGGATGTTGGCATCATGATCATCTTGCCAGGACGAAGCTGACTAGATTCTTGGATAAATGGATGTAGTGTGCGGCTGGCTCACTATGGCATTTTCCACTACTTTACACTGAGGACTAAGCTTGAGCGATCTGGAGAAAACAGTCCATATGCTTGAAGGTGGATGGCAGCAGGGAAAAGCATTAATAGGGCCAAGTGTCAAGGTCTTTTCCAAAGTACTGTCTTGCCTGCCACAAAGTAACCTGAGTGCACAGGAACTCTTTCAAGTAGCCAGGTGCCACAAAGCAGCCGCTGCTACGGATGCTTCCCAGTCAAGATTTAATGAGTAGTAGGGGCATGGGAAGGTCAGGAAAGAATCTAGCGACACTACCAGGCAGATGATAACTTCAAATAATCATCTATCCAATTTTCTAGGCAAGAGTTGAATATTTGAAAAGCATTATATACCAGAATTTATGCACCAAAATTAATTTCTAAAAAGAATTCTTCTCTTAAAGCCCCTTGCAGACTAGGTGCAGAAGCTGGGGAAAACACGGCATAACTTTTCAGTAATTTATTTGGTAAAGGACTAGTATGAGAAGATGAAAGGGCTTATCCCAGGACTCTGCAGTGTTGGTTTTCTCTGAATGGAGGAAATGAACTGAGTCTGTTTCTGGAAGCACTCTCAACCACAGAATGGTGGCTGGCATCACCGCCAGTGCTGATTTTTATGTTTGTGGCACATGACCAAGGTGACATGGGAAGTGAGCTGCAGTCACTAAATGTTATAGGAGTTCCCTGAACACTGAGTTCTAGAAGACTATTGGCAGGACAAGAAGTAAAGCCTTCTTTTATTCCCCCCCCCCATGGAGACTGGGTGGAGTCTATTTTGAGAAAAAGTCAGCTCCTCTGGGACAGAGACGCATGCATCACATCTCAGTGTGGCGTCACAGGGCTTCTTAAACCACCCACTGTTGCTGGACTGCTTCTCTTGACTTAAAGGCTTAAGAAGCAGCATTTCAGATCAGTTGATCTAATGAACTGAAGGGAAGGGACAAGAAATTTAAGGCTCATGCTGTTGCTGCTAGGGGCTGCTGAGTTGGCTCCGTTTCACAAAGCGACTCTATGTACAACAGCACAAAACCCTGCTCAGTCCTGAGTCAATTCCTGCTCAGCAAGCCTATGTGTTCAGTGAGTGTGTGGAACATTCACCTCACAGAACATTCCCTGGCTGGCGTCTATCAACCTGCGGGGCTTCAACAAGCTGCAAGTGATGGCTGTGGATAGCCACCAATTCTTCTGCCTGTTCTGGGTCAGCTCTGAAATCACATTACACCATTTCATTTGAACATCACAACAAGACTTAGGGGATATTCTAAAAGTTCCATACGTACTTTGGATTCTGCTTTTCCAGCTGGTAAGAACTCCATTTCAAATACTGGATTATCATGATGGCCAACAATTACAAAGTAGAAGCTTCCTGACATTATCTTCAATGTACGGCCCCTAATTAAGTGAAAAAGAATATATGTTTTTAGTACTCAATGCTGAAGATCAAAAAAACGTTAAAAGCAAGCTAGAATCCAACATATACTCTACATGGTAGAGGAAATCAGTAAAGGGGGCATGCTTTCTAGAATGCATGAGTTTTAAGACTATTCAGATTACATATCAATGTGCTACATTTTCATGAACAGAGAAATTGCAAGATCTTTAATATGAAATCCTAAGAACAACACTCTCTTAATTCCTGAAAGAGTTAAAAATCTAGAACATTCTGTTCTAAGGTCAAGTAATTTGGGCTGCACTTAGACCAGCAACTGTGGAGATTAAGAACAGGTGGCCATTAGGAAGGTTAAAGAGGTATAAAAGGTACAAAAAGAATTAGTTTGCCTTCTGAGTTTTCCGGCATGATCTTGCTGAGGAAACATAAAACAACTCTTAACTCACACCATCTGCACAGGAGATACTGCACCGTTTATCTACAGACACAGCACTGCATTTGTATTCATCAAATACAGCGTCATGCTACAAATACAAGTTTTGGCAAAAGCAAGAGCTTATGATTTATAAGTAAGAAGGAACACTTTGCATTCTACAAAAAGATGGAAGAAATAACAATGCAAGAAGGAAGAGCACTGCATTAGGAGGTCTTGGAAAGTTTGCCGAAGAAATAAAACTAAGGGAATATATGCATGTACAAAAACTACGTGGTCTTGAGGCTTTTGAAGAAGGAATACATGGTGAGACAGGTTCAGGTCTAGCTCTGTCACTTACTAGTGATGTGACCACAGGCAAGGTCGTTGATCTCCCAATGTCTGATTCCTCATCTGTAAAACAGAGAGAATAATCATAAAGACCCCATGGTGTTCTCAGCATTACACATCTGACTACATGGAAAGCACTTGGCACCACAGCTGGCTCCTAGTGAGGACCCCATAAATGTCACCTATACAACACCCCAGAGCAGCACACAAGCCCAGAGGACGTGGTCATTTCTTAATGTGAGGCTGGAATCCAGCTACCTGGGGCAGTTTCCTGAAAGCCGAGGTGTGTTAGAGTCCAAGACTTACCCACTCTTCCTGGCCCCCTTTGCTGACTCCTATGGAATGTGCTAGAATAAATTGGAAATATATTCCCGAAAGAGTTAAACACTTGGAAATGGAAACCAGGGCACAAGAGGCACTCTGAACTCTAGAGACTAGAAGGCTAGGACTCTCAAAGAAAAAGGTGGGTCTTCACCCTCTGTGGCAGGACTGACAGTTGTCCCTAGGGGCAGGGAACAGCCCACTTGAGCTTGCAGGCGAAGCCTGGTCTTGCCCATCCTGTCACTGTCGTCTGTGGCTGCTTGCCCCTGCTCCCATAGCCAAGTGAGCGAAGCAGCTGCAACAGAGGACCTGCCAAGTCTAGAATGTTCGCCAACCTCTGTCTTTGGGAAAAGACTTGAAAAAGGCCTCAACGGAAAAACTGGGCCACAAGGACAAACAGGAAATGACATAAAGGCTATGCAAAACTAGGAGAAGCAGTACCAGTCTCAGGAGAAAGAGAAGGGGAAAAGGGCTGGGAATGTGACATTTTAACACCAGTCAATAATGAGATCATTCATTCCTGCTGGCATAGGTTGAACAGCTGGACTTTGGCACAGGAAGCACTCACTTCAGCACAAACACTTAAAGAAGCAGCAGCAGCAGCAGCAAGAAAAAACAATTTTAAAAAAACAACAAAACAACACCTCACCAGAATAAGGAAGATGTTGTCTCCTCGGCCCCCAAACATTCAGGAAGCAGAACATATATGTATAGGGAAGATAGCTCCCATCCCCTCTCCTGACGACCCAGTGCCAGTTCTAACTCATGGCAACATTATGTTTGTCAAAGTTCAACAACTTTGCTCCGACAGGGCTTCCAATGTCTGATTTTTTTGGAAGTAGATGGCCAGGCCTTTCTTCCAAGGCACCTCTGGCTGGACTTTAAAGAGTTTTTTGTTAGCAACTGAACTTGAACCACATAGGGGCTCCTTGCAGACACAGGGTGAGGAGAAACAGAATGGAAACAAAAAAATACTGTATCAAGGTTCTACTACAAACAGCTTAGCTGGTTAACACGGCTTTCTTCATAAACATTTCATTATAAATATATAAGAAAGGAGGATGTGACTTTAGATTTAATTCTGACAAGGGAGAACTGACAGGAAAGTGGAAGAATTGGCAACTTTGGGCAAAAAGTATCCTACTGTCTCAGGAAGGGGATGCCGTGGACAAAAGTTTGGGGTTTACTACAAGCTTATCCTGTCTTTCTTTTTAAGAGACTCAAAACTATAACAACTTTACTAAGTGTTTGTGGGATTTACCAAGGAACAGCTGGAAAGCATGCTAAGATTCCGATTGAAACTGACCGGTTCCCTAAGGGAAGCCTGGACGGCCAGGGACACAGTGAGAAAGAACACTTCTTCGCTGAGTGAGGGAGGACTCTGAGCTGATTTAAGTGTCAATGCCCAAAGACCGCTGACTGTGTCCTCCATGTCAATTTATGGGATGGGGTTTCTAATGATTTGAGGTTGACCTTCACTTCAACATGTGAGTCAGCAACTTAGATGGAGACAACTGAGCGAGAAAAACACTGATCAGAAGACAAAAGCCAGGATTCAAACCATGTCCACAAGCAGAAGAATTGGGGGGCATTAACATGATAAAATACTGAAGAGGATGAAAAATAAATTCCTGTATCTAGCATGTTGCAAGGAGGGACTGGTCCTTGGAGAGGGACATCATGCTTGGGAGAGTGGAGGGGTGGTGCAGGAGAGGAAGACCCTAGATGAGATGGATCGATTCTGTGAGTGGAGTGGTGGGAATGAATGTGTTTGAGACGGCAAGGTTGGCACAGGATAGAACATTATTTAGGGCTCTTGTACATAGGGTCGCTATGAGTCGCAAACAACTCGATGGCACATAACAAGACTTAAAAAAAAGAAAAGCACAACACAAGAGCAGTTATTGTAAGAATCTGAAGTTTCATTTTCTGTAAGCTCACTAAGAGGCAGCTGTCTGATAGGGGGATTGAAATGGCAAAGGCAATTCTAGGCTCAATTACGAAAAAGTTGATGCCCAAGCAAGAAAGTGCCTGCCAATGGCCTCTTCACTAATAATATCTTTGGAGAAAGTACAAAGTTCTGGGCATCTCATTTTTAAGGGATCAGCAACCCGACTTGTGTGTGTTGGAGGAAATGATAGGATCTAGGCTAGGGAATGCTCCGGAAACAAGAAACTGAAGGACTCAAGAATGTTTGGCAGGAGGGGCGGGGGTGGGAGGAAAGACCTTGCCTGGGGTGGCAAAGGATCAGAGTACAGCACAATCTTTAAATATGATGCTCTAATGGGAAAGGGATATGACCATAATGGATAATGGATTTCCTTTCCTGAGTGAATCCTAATCAATTGAGAGTGAATTCCAGGAGCCGGTGCTGAGGACGAGTCTGAGACTAAATGCGGCGAGCAGGCAAGATTGCTGCAGTCTTAGCTCCCGCGTGGCTCCTAGGAGTCTTGGAAAGGGTAGTGCCTAAATGAGTCACAAATATTAGCCTTATTCTGACTCAGGCATGTGTCCTATAAGGCTACAAGGAAAGGCTTTTGACATATTGTAGTTGGAAACCATCAGGCTGCCTTGTTAGATCGCTAACTTCAAAGAGGTTCCTTTCAACTCTTAAGAATTTGAAGTTGCCGGTGAACATAAGACATAACTATGGCTCCCTCCAAAGTCATCCATTTTTTATAGCTAATGTGTTTACATCCTCTAGAGGAAAGTCCAGAAAATGGCTCTGTGCTCCCAAGAGCAATGGTTTCCTTTGTTTCACAGACCTGGGGCTGCAATACCAAGCACAGGACATGCCTACTGAAATGAAGTGAATACTATTATTTCTCTAAGGGGGGAAAAAAAGTAGTACATTCACATAGTAAACAACTGCTCTACTCCCAAGTGAGATTATAACAGTGCTGGAGAACATTCATCTAATTCTATTTAACCTTGGAAGCAAAGGTTGATCAATGAGGACAGATGCTTTTTAACAGAGATCTCTTGAAATTATTAAAAAGTGAGGCTGTCACTTTGAGGACTGGCTTAGCAATTCTGTAGTGCTGCTATACCAAGTGGATGGCTTTAACAAACAAAAATTTACTCTCTTACAATTTGACAGTACCAGCTTTGGGGGAAAGATTTCTCTGCAGGTTCTGGAGGAAAATCCTTGTTTGTGGAGATATCATTATGTCAAAGACATATGTTCTTGACACACTTCCCCTGTATGAAGGAGTTTCCCAGCATAGGGACATAGGTCCCAAGGGCATACTCCACTCCCAGAAATACTGAGGTTCCCCTTGTGAGATAAAAGGTGTTACAGGGATATTCCCCTTACATCAGACCTGGGCTGTAATGGGATTAAGGCATGCTGCAATTCACCTTTAATCCTCTTACAACCATTTGGTTTCTCAGATAATGGGGATTATTGTGTAACTTCCACATTATATCATGACATCACATATTTTGAGGGATACAACTTAATCCACAGTAAGGATTGATATGGGCCTCACCCAAGCCATGGTGATTTCAATTGCCTAATATACTTGTGAAAGCTGGGCAATGAGTAAAGAAGTCCAAAGAGGAATTGATGCCTTTAAATTGTTAGGCAAAGAATACTGAATATACCATGAGTTGCCTAAAGAACAAAGAGGTCAGTTTTGGGAAAAGGGCAGCTAGGATGCACCTTAGGAATGAGGATGGCAAGACTTTGTCTCACCTACTATGAGAAGGGATCAGTTCCTGGAGAAGGACACCATGTTTGGTAAAACAGAGGGTCACTAAAAGAGAAGACCTTCAATGAGAAAGACTGACAATGACTGCAACAATGGGCACAAGCACACATTCAAGAGCAGGAACAATGGTGCTGAGGTTGGCACAAATGGGCAAAATTGTTATACATACGGCCACTTGCTGAGTCGTGATAGCAGTGAACAATAAAGTCATTCTACTTTTTAGCAGCATCTGCAACATATTAACATTTGCTCCAAAGCCTCAATGCTTCTCCTCCATCAGTGTAAACTGTTATGCAAACCATATTCCTCCATCACTTCCTTCCCATTTCCTCTGTCGTCACTCATTGTTCCACTTCTGCTAGGGCTGACTGGGGTCCTGGTTGTTTTGGTAATCCGTCCCCCGCCCCCAACCTTACTCTGATTGTCTCCACTATTGTTATTGTTCTTATTTCTCTCTTCATGCCTTGGAATGCTCAACCTGAGTCTGTGTGTCCAAACCTTACCCATCCTTCAAGGTCTCACCAAGTCACCCCTGCTCCTTATGTATTTTGTCCAACACTACCTACTACCGCTGAAATCCTGCCTCGCTGCCTTTAAGACTTTACACTTTTTACGGCCAGGAGTCGAAGTTCACTGTACCTTCTCCCCAGAGGCTCACAAAGCAGAAAGTGACTCAATTTTACCCAAAGACTCAGATACCTTATACTTAACAGCACCCCAACCCGAAGCTTACTACACACTAGAGGGTCCTGCATTTCTTACTCCTGTGCTCATTTCTGCCCCCAATGCAAATGCTACCCATCAAGATCGTGTTGGAGTCCCACTTTTCTCACGGAGATGTACCTGATCAATTCCATCTTCAGCCACTTCTCCCTTCCTCCCCTCCCCAATACTCAGCCTACAATCCATCTTCGTTTTCATCGATCCTCTGACTGTAGCATACTTCTCGAGCGATCGTTGCATTTCCTTAAGACATTTAAACACCATGGGGAAAAGATTCATCTTTCTCGTCCTCGAAGCATCCCCAACAGCGGGCACTCGATCAAGTAAAGCTCAAAAGTTCCCAACCGGGGAGTCGTTTTTGTTCTCCTCCGCTCGGGAGATATGTGACAATGTTTGAAGACATCAGAGGCTGTCACAATTGGAAGATAACACTGACAGCTAGCGGAGAGAAGCTAAGCATCCTAAATTGTGCAGAACAGGCCACTAGAACAAAGAATCATGCAGCCCGGGGTGGCAATAACGATGCAAATAGAAATGCTAGTTAGCTGCATTTGTGCGCGTCCGCAGGCTCAAACGCCTGCAGATAGGCTGACAGAACCCGAATGGGGTCAGCAGGTAAGGTCGGGTGGGTCTGGCCTGGCTGCCCAGAAGATAGAACTAGGTGCGCGGGTAAGACCAGTGAGGTGCCGGCGGGTTCCTGACATCCCCAGAAGCCCAGCTCTCGCCCGTCACTCGCTTTCATTCTTACCCGCAGTAACACAGAGACAGCCGCGAATGCCGAGCAGCTCCAGCGGTAGAGCCTCAATTCCGAGAATCAGAGCACCCCTCGCGAGACTCCGTGGTTATAGTCTCACGAGATGTGGGCGGGACTAGTGGTCGCGGGGGGTGGGGTGGGGGCGGCTGACACATGCGCCGTAGTTTTCTCAGCGTGGGCGCGGGCGGTGGCGGCTTTCTGGCTGTGAGGGCTGTGATGGAGTGTGAACAGTGGCTACCCCAGCTTCTGTGACCCCTCTCCCTGTTTGCCTTTAAGAGTCGCGCCCGGACCACCCTCGAAAACTGCGGAGAAAGGAAATGCGCACACGTATCTGAGTTCTTAGTTCCAAGTGCAGGCTAGAGCGTTCCACTCCATTCCTTCCGCGCCCCCCAGGATAATGGAGGGCTTTGAGGATCAAAAGGCCCCCCATGGTCCAGACCTGCATCCTCCATTGGGCCTCGAGCTCGGGATGCCGTGGGTGGGCGAAAGCACACACATGAAATCTCAGGTAGCTACCGCGCCTCCGGGACCCAGGCGGGTGGGAGAGAAACCTTTTGTTTACGTTCGTTAGACTCCTTTCCCACAGGACCTCCTCTAGTGATTTTGGAGGCTACAGCACCTCAACCCATCGGGTAATCTTTTTCTCTTGCAGCTTCCCGTGTCCCCCAAGCTTGACATTTTGAGTCAAGATGAGCTACGCAAAAGGCTGTACAAGACATTTAAGGATCGGGGTATACTGGACTCTCTCAAGGTACCAGCTTTAGTTTTATGTGTTGTCTCACTTTTACAAGCATAACCTGCACCAGGTTTTATAGCCCTTTAAAAGTCATCCACGTCTTTGTAATTTAAAACCGTTGAATCTTGGTAAATATTGCATTTGTCCTTGGACAGTAACTTTGTTTGAAAAGAGCGTGTTCAAATAATGGATGTCTGGAACCAGCCTAAAGCTAGGAGAGGGTAATAAGGCTTGTTTTATTAATCTGAGTTAGAGATTTCTTAATCAAAAAGTGTCCTATGATTCCGTATGGGAAAGTGCATCTTTCTCTTTCATTGACTCTGTTTTTCAAGCATGATGTCCTTCGCTGTCTTGGCCTAGTGGTAAGGAGCTGTGCTGCACATAGTTGGAGTCCACCAGCTGCTCTGCAGCAGTCTCCTTCCATGTGATTTACTGCCTCTGAAAACCCACTGAAGGGTCACCTATGAGTTGGTTCTGACTCAAGAGCGTTATAATAAGATTGTATACAGCTTTAGTTTGCTTGGCTCCACAGTCAACACTCTTGGCACCAGTAGCCAGGAAATTAAAAGGTGCATTGCCATGGGGAAAGTCTGCTGTTAGGGTCCTCTCCAGAGTACTGAAGAGCAATGGTGTCTCCCTGGAGACTAAGGTGCGTTTGATACAGGCCATGGTCTTCGCAATCACTTGTTATGCATCAGAGAGTTGGACAGTGACCAAGGAGGATAGAAGGAGAATTGATGCCTTTGAGCTGTGGTGCTGGAGAAGAGTATTGAGAATACCATGGACTGCTAGGAAAACAAACAGATTCATCCTGGAAAGGGTTAAACCAGGTGGCTCCTTGGAGGCAAGGATTCTGAGGCTCCGTCTAACATACTTTGGACATGTTGTGAGGAGAGAACGGTCCTTGGAGAAGGACATCATGCTTGGGAGGGTGGAGGGACAGCGCTGGAGAGGAAGGCCCTCTATGAAGTGGATTAATTCAGTGACTGGAATAATCGGGATGGGAGTGTCAGAGACAGTGAGATTGGCACAGGACAGAGCAGAGTTTAGGGCTGTTGTACATAGGGTCGTTATGAGTCGCAAGCGACTCGACAGCACATAACAACAACATCCAGGAAGGAAGGCTCTTAATTTTTGACCATAGATCAAAAGCCTGGAAATAATGGAAGGATTTTAATTAATGTGACATATCTGTGTATCTGGTGAAACATTCCTGCTGAAAAAATATTTCTCTTCATTTCTTTCTTTCTTTCTTTTTTTTTTTTGAGCTAGATACAACTGAGAAACCAGCTAATTCATGAATTGATGCACCCCGTTATGAGTGGAAAACTGAAGCCCCAGTCCATTCCTGTGGAGGGGAGTGCCCTCTTAATAGGTGCTTCCAACTCTCTCGTTGCAGATCATCTCCTAAGATGTGGATATGAGTACTCACTTTCTGTCTTCTTTCCAGAAAGTGGTTTGACAAAAGAGAAGGTAAAGTTTTCCTGTTTTGGTTTTTTCATTTCCTCTTATCTTCTGAAGATAGTAACCCCAAACCAAAACCTGCTTTGTCAGGTCATGTTAGCTCATGGAAAGTCTCCACTGGGTTTCTGGGGCAACACATCTCTGTGGGAGGAAAGTGCCTCATCTTTCTCTTGTGGAGTGGCTAGGGGATTCGAACTCCTGACTACTTAGCAGCCCAGCACGCTATCCATTACACTACCAGGGTTCCTCCTGATGATAGTTAAGTGCTGCATGGTAACCTAGTGCTCCTTGACTGACACACATTGCCTTCAAGTCAGAACCTACTCACAGCTTACCCTCCAGTAGGTTTTCACGTGGGAGGATTTCCAGTCTTTCTCCTTCAGAGCAGCTGGTGGATTCGAACTGCCTGCCTTTGGGTTGGTAGCATAACCCCTTACTGACTAGCTCACCCAGGTCCATTTTTGGTTTATTTCTGAGTTCACATCATGCCTACATAGTAGCCAGGAAATTAAAAGGTGCATTGCCATGGGAAAGTCTGCTGTTAGGGACCTCTCCAAAGTACTGAAGAGCAATGCTGTCTCTCTAGAGACTAAGGTGCATTTGATACAGGCCATGGTCTTCGCAATCACTTATGCATCAGAGAGTTGGACAATGACCAAGGATAGAAGGAGAATTGATGCCTTTTAGCTGTGGTGCTGGAGAGGATTATTGAGAGTACCATGGACTGCTAGGAAAACAAACAGATTCATCCTGGAAAGGGTTAAACTGGGTGGCTCCCTGGGGGCAAGGATTCTGAGGCTCCGTCTAACATACTGTGGACATGTTGTGAGGAGAGACCGGTCCTTGGAGAAGGACATCATGCTTGGGAGGGTGGAGGGACAGCGCAGGAGTGGAAGGCCCTCTATGAGGTGGATTGATTCAGTGACTGGGGTAATCGGGATGGGAGTGTCAGAGACCGTGCGATTGGCACAGGACAGAGCAGAGTTTAAGGCTGTTGTACATAGGGTCGCTATGAGTCGCAAGTGACTCGATGGCACATAACAACAGTATATAGCAGGTGAATGATATATTTGATATTCCTTGGTATCTCAGTTGGTGTTTGTTAAATAGTGACCTATAGAATCACTGAATGTTTGGGGGTATAAGCTACTTTCCATACTGTGTGTGGGAATATGATTCATTTTCACTGCTTCTACCCTGTGCTTGACATTGTACGAACACATTGCATGTGCTTAGTTTGTGTGTTATACTTGAAGACACCAGCTCTGGCAGATCATACAACCTTTAAGTGACAGAACTGGCCATTTTCACTAGGCTAATCGATGCCTTTAGATGTGCTAGAGAAGAATATTGAACATAATCGACCGCCAAGAGAGCAAACAAGTCTGTCCCAGAGTGGATGAAACCTGGTTGCTCTTTGGAGACAAGGCTTTTGAAGCTCCATCTCACCTACTTTGGGCATGTTGTCCAGAGGGATCAGTCCCTGGAGAAGGACATCATGCTTGGAAGGATGGAGGGACAGCGCAAGAGAGGGAGACGCTGGCTGAGATGGATTGACACAGTCACTGTGGCAGTGGGGTCAGGTGTGTCAGAGATGGTGAAATTGGCTCAGGACACGGCAAGGTACAGAGCTGTTGTTCATAGACTCGCTATAAGTCATAGTCAACTTGAGAGCACGTAATGCTACCACTATCACCAGTCTCTTCAGATATTTTCCCTCTTCGTATTTATATAAGAAAAGTTAGGGATATGGCATTTTTAATAATCTGTAAAGTTCTTTAGGGAGGTCTGGTGGCCTACTGGGTAATGAATTGCTTTGCCAACCCAAAGGCTGGCAGTTTGAATTCACCACTTGCTCTGCAGGAGAAAGATAGTCTCCTCTTTTGCTATGTACAGCCTGTAAATTATGGTTTAAGATCAACTTTGAGTTTTTTTTTTTAATTTTAATTTTATTTTATTTTATTATTTTTGTGTGCGTGTACCGTCAAATCAGATCTGACTGGTACAGGAGGAGATTGCCCCTCCTTCCCCGGCAGAGCATCTGATGGATTCGAACCATGCACCTCTGGGATTGTAGTTGCAGCTTCTTGCCACTAGGCCACCAGAGCTCCCCTTTTGAGTTGGTTTTGACTCAAGGGCAATAAGTAAGTGATCATGTTCTCAAGTATTAAAACATACTTTGTTTTTTACGACTTTCCTAATTTACTATATTACTCCCCTATGACTCTTTTAGCATATTAAAACCCAAAAATAAAACCAGTTGCCATAAAGTTGCTTTTGACCCGTGGTGACCCTTCCATGAGTCAGAATAGAACGATGCCCCAAAGAGTTTTCATTGGCTGGCTATTCAACAACCGAGTGCAGTAATATTTGCACTACCCTGGGACTTGAACATGTTGTTATAAGTGTTACGGCGTTGATTAGGACTCATAGCTATCCTGTGGACAGCAGATTGAAACCTTGCCCTGTCTTGCACCACTGCCACAGTCTGTGCCATGCTCGGCCCATTGTCGGAGTCACTGTAACAGTCCATCGTGCTGAGGGTTTTCCTCTCTTTCCCTTCCTGATAACATGCTCAAAATACCAAGATTCACCGTCTTTGCCTTGAAGGAGCACCCTGGTTGCACTTCCTCCAGGACAGGTTGCTTTGTTAATTTCGCTGTCCATGGCATGGATATTCAGTAATATTTGTCAACATCACATTTCAAAGGAATTTATTCTTTTCCAGTCTTATTCACTGTCCAACTTTCAGATGCATAGCAAATAATTGAAAAGACCATGGCGTGGATCAGGTATACTTTAGTCTTTAAACTGGCTTCGATAATTACAATAATTTTTTTTCAAAGTACTCTTTTTTGAAATATAAACACTTCACGAATTTACGTACTATCCTTGTGCAGGGGCCATGCTAATCTCCATATTCTAATTTTAGTATGTGCTGCTGAAGTGAGCACTCAAAGTATACTTCTGAAATGCAAATAAACTAAATGCTTAACTGTCTTTACAACTTTCAACAGCTAAAGTATACCTGAAATATTCCTAAACAGACATTCTAGGTAGCTTTTTTTTTTTACCTTGGAACTTGAGATTCATCGTAAGCCAAGATAGTCCATCTGAACAGCACATCAGCAGAGCCCAGCCTGAGGTGCAGGCTGGGTTTAAACGAGACTGTGGTACTAGGGATACTATAGTTAATGTTAGGTGGATTTTGGCTGAAAGCAGGGAGTACCAGAGGAATGTCTATCTGTGTTTCATTAATTATGCAAAGGCATTTGACTGTGTGGATCACAACAAATTGGTTGATTCTGAGAACAGGAATCGCAAAACACTTTATTGTGTTTATGTGAAACCTATACTTGGGTGTCAGCAGAACAGAGCAAGGAAACATTGCATGGTTCAAAATTGGGAAAGGTGTA